TAATATTTCCATAATGAGGACTGTTCATGGGTGTCATGTCAAGGGTGGGAAATTCTGTTAGAGGGAAAGTTTGGATAACAAATTTAACCAAGATGCCTAACAACAAGCTTTGCATTGTGATTCTCATAGAGAAGAGTACATGAAGTATGAGATAGAATCCTTCCAAATTTATTCGACCCTGGAATCTTTCCTCTCAGAGCACTTCATAGCATATTTTAGATTGCATTTTAGAGAAATGCTGGTGAAGACATCTCTTCATGAAGGAAAGGGGAACAGAAGAGTCGGACTCCAGTTGGTGCTTGTGTCTTCAGTTAGTAACATTTCTTTACAGGGTTTTTATTTGTTAAGTTTCTGTTTTCAGGGAGCTTTCATTCTAATAGGGAAGACCATCTCATTTATCAGCAACCATAATAATAGAAGACATGTTAGAATGCTAGAAGGCAACCAACTCTGCTTATCTTGGAAGATGAGATTCAGTTAAGCAGTCATGAAAGGAAATCACTTCATGAAAGATGTGGCTTTTGATCTCCACCTTGAAGAATGGAGATTTACATGTAAGAGTGCTTTATAGAGGTGGAGGGTAGGAGGTATCCTTAAATGATAGCCATATGATGCCAATGATTAGGACAGGTTGGAATGATAAGTCATTATCTACTTCCTCATCTCAAAAATGTGCTCAGTGTGGCAAATTCCATGGATGACCTCCCATCCCCAAGGGAGGCATGGGTATCCTGCTTAAGCTCAGCAGGCCCAAAGTGGGTGGAAGGTGTGGTGTCAGGGATGACATAACATGTAGGCGCATTGTCTAACCAGCTGACAATTTTTCTTCAGTGTTGGATGCCTCCATTACATTCCGGCTCAGAAGGGAAAGAAGTTGTTAATACAGTAAGCCCTCTGCTCAGGTCACCACACCAGGTGTTGGCAAGCACTTTAGACAATCCTTCTGCTACTGGTGTGGTGCTGTCTTCTACCATAGCTTTGCTGTTTCAGATCTTGATTTCCATAATAGACTCACATTTCTACCCAAGGGTAGTAGGTGTGGTGGTTGAGTTGTTGGGCTCTGGAGTGAGATTGCCTCAGTCTGAATTCTCACTTCTGTATTGATAAAATGGGGATTTTAATATCACCTACCCCATTTATTGTAAAGATTACTGGGTGATAATATGTCTGATATGCTTAGCCCATGGCTGGCCTAAGAATAGATTAGCTACCATTAGGCTATGAGTATATGATGGCTTTAAAGCTGCAGAATCCAAATATGAGAGAAACGGACTCTCCCAGTATCTAGCAGATATTAACAGTTTTGAGAAGGTGGTGCTATCCAAGATCTTTGATGGTGACAAGGAATAAAGCAGAAAGACTGAGACGTGGGCAGTGTCAGGAAATAGAAACATCTGAGTGTGGAGGGTTGTGTATGGTAGGAGCTCATGTAGGGTAGTTTTGATGGTATGTAGTGTTATTGAATATGTGCTGTTTGTCTTGGACCATCAACAAAGAAAAAAATTGAGACTTTTGCTAGAATAACTCATTGATGCATAGAACTTTTTGTATTTTATGTATTTGTGCAAAATTACTGTCATGCATGATTGTGCATATAATTGAATGTATCAGAAATAACTCGCCTACGAATGTTATTTGGTTTAAGCAGCCATTTCTAGAAATACAATTTTTAATCAGCTGTGGATCCTGTAGCTTAACATGATGAGCAGGGCATCTATACAAGAATTTAGAGGCTGGAAATGTAGCTCCGTGGTGGAGCTCTTGCCTCACATGCATAAGGCCCTGGGTTCAATCTTCAGTACCACAAAGAAGAGGAGGAAGAATTATTTTAATGCTTATTAGAGAAGATGCTGTTCATATGCTGCCCAGACCCTCTTGGATCTCATTTGTTGTCTCTGTGCTCTCCTTGCCTGGTTTCCTTTGCTCCTGTCTGCTGGCACTTGCACCTCTTCTTCTGAGGACTTCCCTTGGGCTACTGGAGGGGTTTTGTCTTTAAGTGCAGATAGCTGGGAGTGCCTACCTTACATGCTTACCCCTGAGTAGCCCTCAGACAACAGTGGACAGGTAGGGGGTATGAAAGCCCAGCACCCCGGCCCTGGTGGGGAAACTCTGAGGCACCCCTTACATCCCAGGGAGCTCCTCTGCAGACTCAACCTGAATCTTGTTCCTCAGGACTCTGCTTAAACTGCAAACCTGCTACATTCTTCATGCTCCTCACTTACCCTTTCCTCCTTCATGAACGATTTGCACCCCACCCTTTATGGTAGCATCTCCTTCTGGGGAACCTGACTTCTTATATGTCAGACTCTGTCCTAAAAACACAATGAACACTTACAGTATTAGACAAGAGGAAGGGGAGGAAGGGATAGGGAAGGGAGTATAATAGAGGGCATGAATGTGATCAGAATGCATATACATTGAACCCTCCCAAAAACATGTGAAACTGGGAGAGCAAGGCTGATGGGGGAATGAGCAAAGCACATTATGTGCATGTACAGATCTGCCAAAATGAAACCAATTAATCTGTGCCAATATGCACTAATAAAAAAAGCAGGGCAAAAGCAGTGTAAACACCAAGTGATTTAATCCTCACAATTCTGTAAAGAGAGTTATTGCCCTTATTTCATGGAGAAAAAAAGCTTACTTCAATAAGTAAGAAAGGACATCATGTGTCCCTTGGAGTCGTGACAGTGTCATGGCTTTGTCTAGTTTCCTGCCCTCTTTGCCCACTTCCTAACATCTTATTAACACTACTGTAGTACCTTGGGAAGCTCAGCCACCATCTTGGGATAGTTTATCTGAACAAACAAGACCCACCTTGGAATTTACTACCCACACAGAGCCCATCAGTGATGAAAGGCATCACAACAGTTTTATTCTGACTCTTAAAAGCTAATTTAAATAAGAGGTTGTAAAACAACTTTAGAATAGGGAGATTTTAATAAATGTTACCAGAATGAATAGAAAGAAGAATATGGCATTTACTACAGCCTCGGGCAACGCATCACTTGAGATGGATGAGACTGAGGTGCAAGCCTTGGGGTCGCCAGTCTGGACTCGAGTCCCAGTTTCTCCTCAGACCAGCTTTGGGACCCGCGACTCCGTAATCCCTCTAAACTGTGCTCTTCTCATCTGTATAATGGAGACTATCACATCTATTTTGTAGGATTGCAGTTCAGACCAAGTAAAAGAATAAAGAGATGTACATACGGTTCTTAGTGCAATGCCTGGTGTGCAGTAAACACTAAATCAAGCTGCTATAGGGCTGGGGATTTAACTTAGTGGTTCTGCCTCCTGCCTCACAAATGAAAGGTCCCAAGTTCAATTCCCGGTACCAAAAAAAAAGCTGCTCTGTTTTGTTTGGCTTTTCACTGAACTGGTGCCTAACGTATATGATGTGGTATCACATTGTAATTTATTCCAGAAACAAAACTGGATTATCTTCAAACTCTGATGGTGCTGTAAGCAGCTGATGTGTGGGTTCCACCTTCAGAGCCACAGCTTTGGATCAGGCATGAACTTCCAACACAGATACCTATTTGCTGTTTTCTTGACAACTTCGGGAATGAGCCAAACTTTTTGCAACTTTACATTTGTCAGAAAGGAGTAATAGATATAAAATATAACTCTGTCTCCTGAATGATCTGTCCCTTAGCCAAGCATCCTGAACATTTTCCAAGGTCACTTTATAATGATGGTACAAACTTACTTTTTTCTACAAATCTGTATTATTTTGAGATTACTGTAGTATCATATGCAGTTGTAAGAACTCAGAGAGTTCCCATAGTCCTCAGCCAGTTTCCTCCCATGGCAACATCTACAAACATCTGGATTTAAATAGACTCTTTTAAATAACTATGCTTACTTACCCTGACTTATGAACAAAAGTTAAATATCTTATTTTAGTGAGATTCCAAACTACAAGACCAAGTCTCTTCCCTCAAGGATCTAGAAATTTAGCCAGAACTTCAATTTGGGGGATGAGGAATCTTGAGTCAAATAAAGAACTTCTGTATGCACCTGCCTTGTTTTATGCTGGAGTTCAAATTAAGATTTTTCCAAGAAGCATTTTCTCATTGCTCAAGTGATTAAATTGCTTAGGAGTGAGAATAGTCCACTTTCTCTCAAAACAATGACACTTGGGACACCTTGTCTATTGTCTGTTGCAACAGTGGCTTGCACACAAGCTTCTTCAGGCTGGTGGTGACAGCGTCTGTGGCTGAGGATAAAAGCAAAAAGCCAAATGCGATCAGTTTATTGGTTGTGTTTGGGAAGCAGCTGATGCGTCTTGTTTGATCTGACCAACCATCTCATGCATGGATAGGTAGCATTTCATTCTGTGAAATGTTTTAATTTGCTCTTATCTTCTGAAGTAGACATGTCTCCACCCCAGTATTATGTATCACTGTTACCCTCCCCCTTCTCTTCTCTTTTTTTCTGCCTCTTTTATGAGTTTCTGAGGTTCCCATCCTCAACCACTGCTGTTCTCATGGATCCTCCCATCTCTCCTGGCCTCCCTTTCACTTCCCTTCAGTTCCCCAAAGAGAAAGAAAGGGGAGAATAAACAGAAGCATCCTTATTAAAGCATTTTGTAAAAAGCTTTGGAATCACAATCTTTAATTTTGTGTTGTTGTCTTCCTACACACGGGCCTCTGTAGAGCGGTGCTGCTGTTTTGCTGGGTGGGCCCTTGGAACACTAATGATGACAGTGAATCCTCAGCTACTCCAGGCACTGACCATGCATCAGCAGGGAGCTGAGTGGGCTGCATGTGTGCACAGAGAGAGCAAGGAAAGCACCTTCTGTGGCTTGGGCTGTGGGTCAGTAAAAAGAAACCAAGCGATAGATAGCGAAAAGATGTAGAAGGGAATAACTCCTATCTCCTGGATTCTTTTTTTTGCAGTTCTGATTTGAGCCACGTGTGGATGATGCTGTGAGTTGAGCCACCGAGCAGAGCCTGTGAACAAGTTGCACCTTTTCCAGGGCCATCAGCTGAGATACAATGGAAGAGGCTTACAGAGATAGGACTTCACTGATGAAAGGTGCCAAGGACATTGCCAGAGAGGTGAAGAAACAGACAGTGAAGAAAGTGAACCAAGCAGTGGACCGGGCCCAGGATGAATATACCCAGAGGTCCTACAGTCGGTTCCAAGACGAGGATGAAGACGATGACTATTACCCACCCGGAGATACCTACAATGGGGAAGCTAATGAGGATGAAGGCTCCAGTGAAGCTACCGAGGGCCATGATGAGGAAGATGAGATCTATGAAGGGGAGTACCAGGGCATCCCCAGCATGAGCCAGGGGAAAGACGGCATAGTGTCGGTGGGGCAGCCCAAGGGGGATGAGTACAAGGACCGCCGGGAGCTGGAGTCCAAGAGGAGGGCTGACGAGGAAGAGCTGGCCCAGCAGTATGAGCTGATCATCCAGGAGTGTGGCCACGGCCGGTTCCAGTGGGCCCTGTTCTTTGTGCTGGGCATGGCGCTCATGGCAGATGGTGTGGAGGTGTTTGTGGTGGGCTTCGTGTTACCCAGTGCGGAGACGGACCTGTGCATCCCAAATTCAGGATCCGGATGGCTAGGTGAGTGCCTTGTCACTGAGATTGATTCTGAAACTGGTATTGTGGAGCAGAGGGCTCACCAGATAGAATGAACACTTTTCCTCTACAACATTACATTTTCCTACAAAAATTTTGTATTGAAAGATCTCAAAACATACTGAAGAGTCAAAATAATTGTACTGTGAGCACCAGCATATAGCCACCATCTGTATTCTGTGGTTAACATTGATTATATTTTCTTTATCATCTATCTATTAAGCCAACTTATTTCAATGCATTTTGAAGTTAGAGCAGTGTATTTTAATTTATCCTATTATAAGTCATGTACCACTTAATGAGATAATATATTTCAAGAAGTGCATTATTCTGTGATTTCATCTTTATGCAAAGACCAGAGTATATTTACACACGCAAACATGGCTAAAATTCCAATGACAGTGTAATCTTATGGGACCACTGACACACATGTGGTCTGTCACTGACCAAGACTATTACTGGCATGTTGGTGGGTGGCATGGCTAGATTTGCACTGGTTTCTCCTGTATTAACTCCTCAAGATAGGTCTTTATATGCAGTTTATTTGACACCTTTCTAAAAGCAGAGTGTAATTCTATAAAACTTTGTCAAATATGATTTCGGATGTTAAGTGTAATACTGTGGCTTAAATATTTTTAAGACTTTGCTAATTTTTATTTTTCTTATAATCTATGTGAATCTTTGCTTTTCTATTATCTTTAGTCATAGAATTTTCTCCAGGTGACTTTTTAAAAATATCTTTTTCAAGGTTTGTACTTTTGAGCCCAAGCTGTAAAAATTTCAGTTCTCCATATGATTTCAAATCCATTTTAAATTATATCAAGATTTAAATTATATATGCTGAAAATAATATGACCTCTCTATAAAACATCCAGACACCTGATTTTTGTGTGAACATTACCATCCCCCAAGGTTCTTATTCTAACAAAGCTGTAGTTACACTCCGAGTCTATGAAGGCCAAGACATATGCACGTGGTGCCATGTCCCCAACAGTTTGAGTTCCCTGCAGACGCTTGGTACACTAGTCAGGAGGGTTTTCAAACATCATTTCCAAACTGCCTCAAAAGATATAGTTACGTGCATATAAAATCTTTATGTGTTTTGAAGTCTGTAAAACAAAATAAAAATACTTAATATGTCTTTCCAAGAGACTTCTTTAAGCTAAAGCTTGAGAAACAAAAAGTACCCAGTTCTTTGTGTGCAAACATAGTAACTTTTTTTATGGTGATGATCTCTATTACAAAATTTGAAATAAATGAAAGATACATCTCAAAGCAGAGAGCTTAGAAAAAGATATTGTGGTTGTAGACAGACTTTAAAATGACTCCTGGTTGTCACCTCCTATTAGTCACACCTTCCTTTAATCTCCTCTCTTTATTTTTTTTCTAAGTTCTTTTATTGGTACATTTTAGGTATACAATTTGTTTACATTTATCATTGGGTGCTTGTACCTGTACATGATATATCTTGGTTCTTATTTTTTTCCCCATTATCTGTGCACCCTTCACCCCCTCCACCCTTCCCTATTTACATAGACATCATTTCCATTTTTTTTCTTTTCTCATAGTTTTTCCTTTCCCTCCTTTCCTTTCCCCTTCCCCTCCCTTCACCCCTTCATCTTTGGATCTTTTTTCCTATTTCACATTATCAATTATTCATTTTAATCATTTTAACCCTTGTTTACACTATCAGTTTCTCACACTAGTGAAACTATTTGGTATTTACACATGTGTGTCCTATTTATTTCACTTAAAAGTATGGCCTCTATATGCATCTATTTAGATATAAATGACTCTAGATTTTCTTTCTTTATGGCTGAGTAGTACTCCATTTTATAAAAAAACACGTCTTCTTTATCCAGTTTCCAGTTGATGGGCACTTGGGCTGCTTCCAAGCTTTAGCTATTGCAAACTGTGCCGCTATAAACATGGGTGCACGTATATCGCTGTGGTATGATTCTTTTAATTTTGGGGGGAAGATACCCAGAAGGGGAATAGCTGGGTCAAATGGGACCTTTAGCCCTAGGTTTTTGAGATTTTTCCATACTGATTTCCACAGTGGTTGCACCAGTCTGCACTCCCACCAACAATGGAGAGGGGTTCCTTTCTCCCCACACCCCCTCCAGCATTTGTTATTGGTTGATTTCTTGATAGCAGCTATTCTTTCTGGGGTTAGGTGGAATCTCAGTGTTGTTTTAATCTGCATCTCTCAAATGACCAGTGATGTTGAACATTTTTTCATATATTTGCTTGCTGCTTTTACTTCTTTGTCTTAGAAATGTCTGTTCATTTCAGATGCCCATTTTTGAATCAGGTCTTTGAATTTGAGGGGTCTGATTTTTTTCAATTCTTTATATATCAGACCCCCCAAATTAAAAAAAAAATCATGGTAACTTTATTAAGTAATGCTATCATCGCTTCTGACAGTACAAGACAGCTAATCATAAAGAACAAAAAGATTTATATCGTTTTATTTTCTCATCGCTTTTTCTTTCATATCCCCCACTCCTACAATCTGTTTATGCTTAACTGAAGGAAATGGATCCACAAGTGCAGACTCTGAAGGTGAGGGGTGGGAGTCGGGGCATAGTCTGCGTATTTTTGTTGGTCGGTCATTTGTGTGTCCAGCCATCAAAACGCAGAGCTCCCTATGCTTCAGAGAGAACTTGGTCATTGTTCAGATTGATCAGCTCAGCAGATCTGGTTCATATCTAGTATTTTATTATTTTATATTTTCCTTTGGTGAGCAAGTATACCAGTGTAAGCCTGGACATCCAAAATCTGTCAAGATTCTGCTAACAGAATGTATCAGTAGAGTGTTTCAAGAAGAAAGATTCTTAGAAGTATATCCACACAGATATTAAATAGTTGCAGGCTTAAATTTAGAATAAAACTCTCCTCTTGTTCTGATCTTAGCTTTTATTTCGGAAACATTACAGCCAAGTCTACACCCAGCGTGGCCCATGCCTTTATCTCCCTGCTTCGAGGTGGAAGCACCTGTTAGGTGGGGAGCTCTTATCAGGCATCCACAGAGCGGGGCCCTGTGGATGTGACACACTCGCAGGTGGCAGTCGGAAGTGTAGATAACACTGCAGAACAATAGGGGCCCAGATTTTTTCATCTCCCTGTAACTGTCACCTGCTTTACTGAATTAACAATGTGTCCCTAGGAGTGTACAGTTTCACTCCATGATGTGAGACCCCAACAGAAGCATTTTAATGGTTTCATAACTGTGCCTTCCAGGTTTGCATTTCAATTATTTTGCCATTGTAATTTCACTCATAATTGCATTCTAACGGGGTCTCTTTAGACAAGCATTTAAATTGTTTTGCCATTTTCATTTCATCGGATAATAGCTTCATAATATAATTACCACACTATGTCACAGCAATGGGATCAAAATGCAAAGAAGAAAAATGTGTGACCCATGTTTGGTGGCATTTTGTGGGTATAGATTTGCAAAATGAGTTTTCATTTGACACTGAGCATTGTATTATTTTCCACCAGGAAGACCAGGAAAAAAATAAGACCCAGTTTATGTTTTAATTATGTGCAAGATTGATCCTCTCATGTTTGCTAGAAAGTTGACTTAAAGATAGCCAAGGGCATTCCGTGTGTACATGTGTCTATGTGAGTGGTCTTTGAGTATATACAACAGGGATGGAAGAAGTCAGAGTAAATATTTAATTACCTAATAAGCTGCTTTAAAATAATATATTTCTTATTGCCAAAGTCTATTTATTAAGCACTCATGGTGTGCAAAGCACACTGTTACCACAAGGAATAAGAGGACAAATAGGAATAAAAGAGACAAGGTTTCACTCTTCAGGGAAGTTATAGTCTAGAATTGAAAAATCAGAAATGTCTAAACATGACCAGTACAAGGAAGCAGATGTCAGCAGTCCAAAGCAAAGTGTAAATAAAGAGTCTTCAAGCAGGGAGAATGTGTTAAGCAATGGGGCACTGACCGAGGAGGGGAAAGATTGGATTTGGGAGCTGTTCCAGACATAGCATGGATTGGCTCATTGATGAGTTTGGAAGGGAGAAAGGAAATGAAGGGAAAGTAACTCTTCAAGTGAGGGACTGTAGAGTACAGCTTGAGTAGGAGGGAAGATGAGAGACAGTTTTAGGAATTCCACATGGAGGCTGTTGGAGAGGATCAAGGAGGATGTCAATGGGCTGCTCCCCACTGGGGCTACAAGGCCCAACGCTTGGGAACCATGTCATTTAAGACGACAGTGCCAGCAACCATAACTAGGCAGAGGGTGCTTCCTGGTGATACTGCTTATGGGGCTGGTGGTAGAGGAAGATGTCCCTTCTCTGGAGAGGAAGGAGCATCCAGCAGAGAGGGGCAGTCTGGATGCCACAAGAAGGAATCCAGTGCTGCAGAGTCTTGTAGCAAAGACTCAAACCAATCTCTTATTTCTGGCAGTTAACTTATTGTCTGCTGCAAAATGACTCTTCCAGTGAGCACAGTGAGCAAGGCTAGAAGTTTCACACTCTGTGTATTGAGTGATGTGGCAAAGGGTCCTTCAGATTCACAGCCATGAGTGGCAGGGCAAGGCTCTCGCAGACACCGGTGCTCTCCTTCCCCTGGCCAGGCTCAGTCTGCCCTGTGCACCACGACTGATCTGGTTCCTCTCCAGGGTTTGCTGAGGGGGCCTGCTGGGTTCAAAGGTAGGAAGGACATGTGAGCTTTTCAGGATCAGCCCTGCCCTGGAACCAGCCCCACGAAAGCAGAACAAGCAGCTTGCTTGTCATTTACATTTTTCTATGCCTCAATTCTCACCATTTTACATCAGACATAAGGAAACCAAATTAGATTGGGAGGATTGAATATGAACATGTGTATCCCCTTAGCAAAGGGTGCAATAGATAGCAAACACTAATAAATTATAACCATTATAATGATTACTAGAGGAGAGAAGGTGAGCTAGGAGTCTCATGCAATGTCCTGGGCAAAAACATGAATGGAATCCTGAACT